GGGTTCCTCCCTTGGTAACTGAAGCTCGTTGGTTTCTTCATCAGTCACACGATTAGTTTTACGAGCTTTGGGGGTACAGCTCTCAGGGCACCTGGTGTACCTCCACTCCCCTTTGGCCCAGTCGATCTCGGGATTGTGTTTCCTGAGATAGGTCATGCCGAGGATCATGTCCTTTCTTCCCAAATCTGCGACTAGCAGTGGGTGTGTCGACTTATGTGATCCTATTTCGACGTAGGCTCTAACGGACTTATTTATTTGACCGCTTTTATTGGAGGTCCCGTCTGCGTTATAAACGTTGTACGGGGTTGCCAGCTTATGCGTCACCAGGCTGTTACTTTCAACAACTGACCGATTGATGAACGATGTTGTGGCCCCTGAGTCTACCAAAGCTTCGACCTGCACTTTCTTTCCGTATACCCACAGTGTCACAGGCAGAGTGAATGAATTCTTGTTGCGAGAGATATTTACAAGACTGCTGTGTACACTATCTACATTGATTCTGACGGTGGGTTCCGATTCCTTAAGTACATGTTCGCAGGTAGTCACATGTACTTCTTCCAAAAATCCGAGGTAGCTGCGGTGGGTTCTATCTTTGCAGACAGCTGGGGTTCATCCTTCCCAGCCAGAGTCGATTCCTCGACGTTCGCAATCTCCTCGATTCTCGCAGTGTTGGCGCTCACGGCTTTCGTGGATGGGGGCGTGTCATCCTCGCTATCCGTAAGCTCGACTTGAATAACCCGCGTTTTCTTAGCCTTCTTGACTGCGGGGTTACCACTTCCTCCTTGTGCCTTCTTAGCGCCATCCCCTTGGGTCTTCGGCCGCTTGTCCGCATTTTTAGCCAACTTGTAGCAATCATCTGTGTTATGAGTTTTCGACTTGCAGATGACGCAATACTTCTTTGCCTCTGTCGAGGCGGCCTCAGCGTCCTTTGCCTTGCCTTTGCCTTTACCCTTCGATTTCGACTTTTCAGCCGAATCGATGTCCATGGGAACGGCGCCGCCATTATCCGAGCCACTGTTCTTGAATACCGAGCCTCGTGCCTTCTCTGGGTTGACAATCTTGTTGATGTTGAGCAAGATGTCGAGGAACAACGTCCAATCCTTTGGCAAGGTGGACTCATCCTTTTCGGCCAACACCAACCGCATGTCACGAGGTATAACCTCCCGGAGTTTGTCGATGAGGAGACTATCGTCATACTCCGTGAGACATCCGAGGGTGCGGAACCTCTCAGTGTACTTCACAAAGTCCTTCGAGGCCAGATCCTTATTGATGAACAGTGCTGTGATCTCCTTCTTTGCACCCTCCTTGTCGTCGCGTTGCCCGTATATCTGGGCTAGTTCCGCCACAAATGCCTTCCAGGTGCCCAGATCCTTTCCTTCCCGCATTTTCACATAGTAGCTCTTTATGTACTGATGAGCTGGTCCTTGCAGCTTCGAGAGGGCCGTGACAATTCGCTGTTTGTCAGTGGCCACTCCCTCATGCTCGCACCACAGTATGATCAGGTCCAGCCATTCCTCAAGCTTGGTCTTATCCTCACTGCCCTTGAAGGCCGGAGGCTCCCCAATCTTAGGTTGACAGGAATGACCACTACCCGTTGACGCAGGTAGCGCATCGACTTGTCACTTGTAGGAATCAACTAGTGCCTGCTGATTCTGGACCGTGATATGCAGGGATTCGACCTCTCGAAGGAGGCTTTGAAGGTATCCGTCGTAGTGCCTGCTTATTTCTAAGGTCAGGCGACCAATCCAGTCTCTGACTCGTCCAGTGGTCGATTCTGCAGCATTCGCAGTAACTGTTTGCAGCAAAGCTGCTTGTTCATCAGAGACGTTCACGTTCTGGAAGATTGCATTGCGCCACTCTTCTTCCGTGGCAATAGCGAATGCTTCGGTCGGAACGAAGGGGATGTATGGGGCCATTTCTTATTGTAGTGATTAGCCCGTATTCACTTATGATTGAAAGAAAAAAAGTGAAGCGAAGGAGATCTCCTCCTCATGCCATATAAGCCAATTATGCCAGAAAAGATTGCCAATCTTTATTCCACTATCTACACTTCATACTTGAAGGTGATGTTTAGACTAGCCAACTCATTACAAATCTCCGGCAGGCGACTGCTTAAGTCTTCGAAGGAGACATGCCCGATCCTTTTCAGGTCATGCTTGATAACTCTCCAGTGCCTGTTGGTAAGCCGGCGCGCCTTCTTCTCCAGCCCATGATACAACTCGTCGAACCCATCACCCATCCTCCTGACTTTCACCACAACTTCCGGCTCCAAGCTCCCTTCTTCCTTTTCCATTCAGGCGAATACCGGTTCCAGCCTGTCGGCTGTAGCGGCAAACATCTCGTTGTACTCAGATGTGCGCAACAGAATCTTCGTGCGCTGGAAGTGAATGTCGGGGAGCGGCTTGGGTGGTTCATATTCGTAGGAGGGTCCCACCTGCATATCAATGCGATTGATGAGGGGGGGAGCAGGGTCGGAGATACGATCGAGCAACTGTTGCTTCTTGAAGAGATGCGCACGAAGTGCAAGCTCCTCGATGTCATGTTTCGCTTTTTCAGCGCGTTCAGGGTTGAAGGGGCGGCAAATGAGTGGCTTGATGGTGGGGCGTACAATTCGGCAAGGTTTGCCAACGTCGTCGAACTTGTGCGTGTTGTGGATGGCGATGCGCTCAAGCAGGCCTGTCGGCTCGTGCTTAGCGGTGACAATGAAAGGTTTGGCTTTTGGCATGGCTACGGCAGAGGGGATTAGATAACAGCTTTTCAGCTGGCTCTTTTTAGAGCGAAGAAAAGGGTATGTGCTATACTACAGGGTCCATTGGTCATGCTTCATGTCGGCGTCCTCCTGCTCTCTCTCAGCAGGTAGGGAGGGGGGAATACAGATCTCAGTCGGGTTTCCACGCCCGCTGCAAGTGGTTTTGGGAGAATCTTACACTCTCCCTAAGGCTGCGCATGCTGGTTATCCGTTGTAAGCCCTAAGGCCTCATAGAATGGTAAACCACATTCCAGCATGTTGCCCATAAGGCAGCAACCTCCCCTTACGCCTAGGGACTGGCGAAAAGCTTAGCATGTTGACATTAATTGTTCAACCCTGACCAATAAAGGTAGGTGCTTCGCAGAAAGGTATTGCCACTTTTCAGTTGACAAACCATAACCCCCAGAACCCACATGAAAAGGCCACCTTACGCTTTGCAGCATAGGGGCATAGCAACGACCAATAGGCCCTGTAACAAAGCAGGTAGCAAGGGACCCTTGCCAGGGCCCAGTGCACCTTAAAGGAGTTCTATTCAACTATCACAAAACCTATAAACCCACCTTATAGCTTGATAGTAAGGGGGGGAGATAAAGCACTTAAGTATGGGGGAGGTAATGCTGTTAAGCGCAACAATGAAGTGAATAGAACTGGGGGACAGGGTGCCCCAGGATGCTGCCTTATATACATGAGGGAAAACCCCCCAGGGACCGATAATGGACCCCTGGTACCTAGCTGGGTAAGGATTACTAAGTATCATGTGCTCTATGATGTCATATATGATGTCATAGTCTGGCCCTGCCCTGCCCTGGGCCTAGGGTCCAGAATTGACCGGCCTATGGCCTAGTGCCTGAGCCTAGCTCCTACCTATGATGTCAGAATGATGTCATGGTCCAAAAGGAGTCTGGTTTCTATCTAGAAAAGGTCCGGCATCAGAGTTTAGCCTGATGTGT